CACAGGAGCTCTTTCAATCTGGGCACCGTTTCATTCACAACACCTGTCCCATCAACCAGGAATCAGAACCAGAAATACTTTAATAATCCCAGGGAGAAATTACTTTTGTTACATTACTCCATATTTAATAGAGTGACTATAGGACCAGTTTGATAAAACACAATTGCATACAATATATATATATATAATTAGGGGGTCCCCGCTCCATCTCGCCATCAGTTTTCGGCTGCTCGGCCTGGAAAACTTTGAGGAGCTCCGTTTTAGAGCATAGATGTTGATATATACTTTAAATGGGCCACATATCACATATGATTTACACTCAAGATAATATAAAGTACCCTTTAAAAGAGTTTTACATCAAAAATAGACATTCAAAGATAACAATTAAATGTTCTTTAAGCTTGAGGACAAACAGTGCAGGTATGGATTCATCACCTACAGTGATTAAAGGGTGAGAGGTGACATAGATGTTGGAGGTAAGACTGATATAACGCATACATCTAACCACGACCGATTCGATTTCAAAGGCAGGTCTATCAGAGTCAGAATCATCAGATTAAAACTAATCAGATAACAGATGTTGAGTAAATACTCCAAGTGACGTGTTCCGCTTTTGTTATTTTGTACTCCATGTTACATTTCAAGCTGTTAATGAAACTTTCCAGCTTCCGGTTTTGCCGAAAAATTGGAGGACATAAGGTGTGCTCTCTGTTACATTCTTAATTTTCATTTCCACGTTGCTCCGTTATGGTCGCCAACTTGTTGTTATGCAAGCAGAAAAGTCCCTCCTCCAGAGCAGTGATTGGTCAGAGTCAACAGCGGTTTACCAGACTAATTTAAGCTCTGTGTAGGCTATGTTGAAGATGTGATGATGATGATGATGAGCTGTTTATTTAAGTCTTTAACTTTCCACTTTAACTTTCTACTTTTGAAACTAGATTCAGCAAAACGACTTGTAAATATCTCTGATTGGTTGGTCGAGGATAATGTTCTACATTAATGTTAGGTTAGCTTTCAAATGATATCTGACAGTATTACTATGGGTAAGATACTGACTGCTCCATGCTAATGTATAAAATCCTACTACTAAGCTAAAAGCATTTAGGTCCACCTTTACTGTAAAACTTATATTTATGCTACTTCTATTTAAATGTTCTTGGACCAAAGTTCTTTTTATGAAGCTAAATAAAATAGCAATGGATCATTTTTACCAGTATATATATTCTGACATATTCAGTAATGAAACTGGTGCTGACTGTGATAAGATATTCAATGAATCCTGAAAGATATTCAGAATAATCTTTTTTATGCTTGCAGACCTCCACACACACACAGAGCACTCCACAGCCCTCACCCAGCATGGCTTTGCCCTCATCCTCCAGTTCAAAGCGGAGCGTTTGCAGCTCCTGTTCTGACTGCTGCTTCAGCGTCTCGATGCTCTGCCGGTGGGCCTCTCTGAGAGACTGCAGCTCTGCGTGGTGATGATGGCGGAGACGCTCCTCCAGCTCCTGGTGGAGGGTAGAGAGGAGAGATGTGAGTAAAATAAGAAGAAAATATTGCATAATTTCCACAAGGGAAATCTATTTGGTTTAAAAGAAATACATTTAAAGAAATAAAAAATAAAAGAACTAGAAAATGCAACATTAAAAGGTTGTTTTAAAAGAGATAAACAGTCATCAAATCTGAACTGTTCAGGTTTCCCTCGCAAACAATCAGTCATTTAGAAGCTCTGTTTTACAAACAAGTAACTGTTAAACCTCACAATAATCAGGTTTTCATTGTGTTTTGGTAAAAACAAAAGAAAGCAGGTGTAATTTAATATCACAGCGAACACCAAGCTACTTTATCTGCACAAGGAAAGGTTTTCATTTTCAGACATGGACACACCTCCTACATCTATCAGCTTAGAGTATAATTATAGTTTAATTGAAGCCCTAAAACCTGAGAAAGGAAACAATGTTTTGTTTTAATTAAAATCAATGCTTGAAGAAAAAAAAATAAAAATAAGTTTAAAGAAACAAAAGCTTGAAGGCAGCAGATCGGTTAGAAGATCTGATCGATGCTGGAGAAGATTACAACTGTAAAAGTGTTAAAAGATAACTTGATGTTTGCACATTAGAGGCAGGTTTATCAAAACTTCTGTACAATTACTTGTATAATTGTGTTCTAAAATATATAGTTTTCTTTTCAAATCAATATTTAGGCTTTGCTTGAAAATCAAATTTTATACTTTTTTGAAACAGATATACAGAGGGTTAAACATGCTGCATATTAACACAGAAATCGTGAAAAAAAATTATCAAAAATTAACATCATACTAAAAATCATTGTGCATTTTATCATTTATTCATCATAATGGCAACACATAACTGAATCTTTAGCAATATTTAAGTAAAATTTTAGTTTTTAGGGGAAGTGTTAAGTTTTTTTTTGTTATTTAAAAAGATATCAGGGGGGAAACTTTCAAATTAAGGCACATGAGCTGTGCTAACAAATACAGTAACAGATATCAATATCTTTCTTTATCTATGAGGTATTATTTGCAGCCACAATAACTGCTGTAATGTCCTGTTTGAAGTTTCCCAATATATGTTTGATAGGGTACTGTATGGCTGGTGTGTACGTGTTTGGTATGGCTGATTAGAAGCAAAAATGTTGAAACAAGTTGAAAATAAAACCCTGATAAGACAAGGCAGGTTAGTTGAAAAGCACATTTCAGTAAAATGACAATTTACATTATAAAAACAAAGGTTTTTAAGGTAAAAATTTACAAGCAAACAAAGAAACGAGAACATGACAAAGAAAAAAATGATGACAGAGGTAAAGAAATTACTCTCAGGCTTTCCCAGACAATTAAAATGTGGTCAAATCTGCATTTTATATCTAATTTCCAGATATTTTATGTTTTGCAATTTGGTTACAAAAGATGGGATGTCTGCTGCTGGACCAAAAACACATAGAGAAAGAACTGATTCAACTGTTAACATGGAAACCTTTTTAGGGTAAAAAGAGAAAAGATCTTCATTTTTTTCTAACCTTTTTTTGTACAGTGCATGACAATGTCCCACGTTTTCTTGGAAAACGACTTCCGGTTGTAATGGTTAAAAAAGTTCTAGTTTCCATCATCATGTTCAGTCATATTGCACAGTAGCAATCTATGGCTATGTTTAGGTGGACACAAGTGTTCGGACGATCGGATTAAAATGTGGCGATATAAACATGTCAGTCGGAATATTCTGATCATATTTGGCAGGATCGAAATGAAACCTGACTTAGAGGGGTGGTAAATAGATCTTAATGTGCAAACAGCATCAACACGCCGTATTCTTCCCCCTTCAGAGAACAGCTCTGGCCAAATGTTTTTAGCAAATTCTGATCGCCTCTTTCATTCCGATTTGCTGTGTTCTTATAGAAAGGTAAAATCCGATTATTTTTCATTTTTAAGATCTGGTTACTTTCGAACCTGATCGTGTCATTTTGTGCATGTAACCCTAACCAATGAGCATGCACAGTGACCAGCTTAAAAACCAAAGAAAACCAGAAATACACAAAATGTGCAGGTTTCAGAGTGTGGTAAGTAGTGCACACAGTTAAGGAAATGTATGTTCAGACAGGAAAGATTAGCTTCCATTTCTGACAGACATTGGGACATCGTATTCTGAATGTAGAAGAACCATCTAGTGGGCAGAGGTGTCAAGTAACGAAGTACAAACTAACTTACAGCCTACAGGAAAGGAGATAACTCTCACTTTAATGGGAAGGAAACTGGGAGAGGTAGTCATGATCCTTAATATTTTATTGTTAATATTATGACGGATTGGATTTTGCTTTTTTAATCAAACTTAGTGAGAAGTGTGTTAACACATTCCCTTCAACATCCTACTGCAACATACTAGATCCCGTTTGAAAGAGGTACAAATTTAGATATGACCTTATCCTTGTCTCTGATGTCATGATAATGTTTGTCAAACATTTCAATTATTTAATATCTCAGTTAGCTACCTCCTTCTGGGTTAGAGAGGTTTGTTATTAAAGAAGGGAGGAGGGGACTGATCTGTGAGCCTGTATGATGGCAGCAAAATAGCAGCAAAACAAAAGAATAAAGAGACTATAATACAAGTA